TATAAACAAAATGCGTTGTAAGTAGTACATTATGTTGTAAAAAGAGCCAAATTGATGAAAAAATGGTGTGTAACCCCATCTTTTCACGTGAAATTGGTCCGGCTATCAGCGAATTCGTTCTCATAACAACAAGTTCTTCTTTGTACCCTGAACACCAAATATGTATTTTGCACAATGACCCATTTGTCTCGAATATTTATTTTTCGTTTCAGGGTCCCCTTTAGTGAAGAGCGAACTCATTATTTTGAAATTTTCTTACCGCTCATGTAGCTAGGTTTTTTTATGATTTCATTTATGCACTTATACTTGGTGAGGTAGGGAGTGTCTTTCAAGGACAATTAACTTGGCTGTGCGCCTTTTTTTTCTCTAAATTTTACTGTTGAACTTATCCACAGAAACATCACCAGTATACAGCGTTGAGAAATAAACATGAGATCGATGTGATGAGGCAATGTGAAATTATTGGTATGACAGTGACTGGTGCAGCCATGAGAGCTAATCTGCTGGGTAAACTAACAACACGTTGTATTTGTTGTTGCTGTTGTTGTTGGTGTTATTGATGTGAATATGTTGGTGGTAGTGCCGGTGCAAGTTCATTTCATCTCCTAATCAACTTCAGACTGTATGTTTAGTTTTCCAATTTTAGGATACTTCACATATAGCATAGACTTTGTGATAGTGTAGTGTGATCGTCCGGGTTAGTGTAATCTTAAGAAGGACTTTTGTCGGTAGTGGTGACTGACGTTTCGACAACCTGAGTAGAAGTCATCATTAGAATCAAGAGAATCATTAGTTGTTGTCAGTCAATTGATCTAAGTCCGGTTCGTATAAACTGATTAATTCAGTTTTGCCGTGATGTTATCCGCCGTAAGACTCAAGTGGCGTAGGTCGGTTGCGATCGGTCGGTTTCGATCTTTCAGTAAAGTCAGGTCGTTCTGTTCGGTTCGTCTGTAATGTTAATATCATGCATGAGTCGTTTGTATGGTGCCGGTAGAGGTTGACACCTTTTGAGGGAAATTTGTTCTATGTTTGCAAAGCAGCTTTCCAGAGTCAGTCGTTGGAAGTAGTTGGTGCTGTCAATTAGGCATTGCGCAGAGTCCCAGTCAATAGTGTGTTTCGTAAGTCGATGATGTTCAGCAATGCGATTGTTGAAATCACCTTTCCTCGTCGCTAGCTTGTGTTTAGTCAGTCTTGTTGTGAGTTTTTGTCAGTCTCGCCGATGTAGGAGGCGTGGCAGTTGGAGCGATTGATTTTATAAACCGCTCCCTGTCTGGTCCTCGGTTCGTCCTTGTCCTTGACGTTTGTCAGTAACTGACGTAGTAAAGTGATGGGTTTGTGGACGACGTGGATATTGAAGGGTTGTAGGATGCGCCAGATGTTCTCAGACATGCAATATCAGACATGTCATCACGATGTAGTCCTTGGAAACATACTAAAATTGTTTAAGTTTGTCAACTAGCTCTTTTAAATTACCCACTGTCCAAACATTGATTTTTTTTAAAAACTGGCGGGGAATTCGGTAACTTCGCGAATGTCATTTCAGTCACATATCATGCTATCACTTCGACTGATTCGTGAGAATTTTTTTGGGATGTGAAACCGAGAGCACCGACATAGTGTGAAGTTGGGCTCATTTTGCACTGACTTTTTATTATCGGGATTAAAATTATGGTTGAAATGGAGTTTCCGTTCGCTACGTATGGTTCTGAATGATCGTAATGCCTTTCCACTCACAGTTCATTTGCTGTTGTTTAATATACTTTCAGAGGAAATAAAGCCATCAGTTATGATAGTAGAAGAAGCTGCCGAAATCTTAGAAGGACAACTTGTGGCAGCTATCCCGCCATCCGTTCAACACCTTATCATGATTGGTGATCATCAGCAGCTGAAACCTGTGGTACAAAACCCCAGACTCCGAAAGACTAATAACCTTGATGTCTCCATGTTCGAGAGACTTGTGAACTGCAAGATTCCTTCCAAGCAGCTTGAGTATCAATGCCGAATGAGAGACGACATTGTTGATTTGCTCCGAGCGCTAAAAATCTATAAGGAGCTTAAAACAAAGACGGAGGTAAATGCTGGAAAGTATGGACCTAAGTGGACAATGGCTTTCGCACAAAGTTTATCTAAGGGAAGGTTATTACTTTTCGCGGGTGGAGGACACCTATTTGCCAGTGCTTTCCCTGCTGAGGCTAGGAGAGAATCGGCGCTCTAAGGGGTTAAAAACATAAATTCTTTGTGTTACTCAGTACGTTAACGATTCCCTCTGTTTACTAACCTTACTGCCAAACCCATTCCCTCCATGCTAGATTTAAATCACTCCTTTAGCTACAAGGAGTTGAAATTCGTTTTGCACGGAGTTACAGAACTTGAAATGTATAGTTATTTGTTCTACCTCTCTAGCTAATTCGCAACAATCATCTTCCTCATTGTGTGGAGAAGAGCATGTACTTCTGCCGCCACACAAGTGAGGAGAAACCATCAAAAGATTCCCACAGCAAACGAAACGTCCATGAGGCCAGAATGATCACGGAAGCTGCAAAAACGTTTTGTCAACAGGGAGTTCGTCCATCTAGAATTACAGTACTTTGCGCATATCGAGGACAGGTAAGTGAACTTTGGATGCTTTTAATCTCTACAACCGAAGTATGATTTCATCCTGAGAACATGCATAGTGATAAAATTAACATCCTTTGCAAAGTTTAGGTGGGTCACAGCAGTTTACAGCTCTGTTTTTTTAATTGACCATTATTGTTGCTCTGAGTCTGGTGATGGTGAAATACTCGTATTAAAATGTCCAATCTTTGTAAATCATATTATGACTGTCCTTGTTACTTAACTCAAGTTAAGGCATCATAACAACATTATAACCTGTTAAATACATTCTTATTTTTATCTATGAAAG